AACCTTCAAATAAGCTACAAGATTAAGACAAAAGTTCCTAAAAATGTTTTCATCTATAGCTAAGTGACAAGGCTTGATAAAGAACAAACTGAGTTTCAATTTTAAACCGGATAGAAATGGACTTAAGTCTACAATGTGAAACCTAGAATCAACAGATGAAAGAAAAAAAGATAGAATGATAATATAAACGAGATGCATTTTATCAAATTTTCATAAGAGGGAAATTATTTGAACAGTTGTAAGCCTCCTATAAACCAACAAAATGAATTCAGTAACTAGACACATCAATGAATATGCAAACAATGAAACAAGGTCAGATCCACTATCATAAGAAATCTTACAAGTGTTTTCTTGTAGGTAACAGTAATTCTCTTTGATTTGCAGCCGAGGACACGGAATATTAATTCAGCTCCAACCTGAAAATGAAGATCATTCAAAACTTACGCATGCCCCAGCCATATATCAAATTAATCATGTACGGTCGATGCAAGGAACCAACCTTGAACTTTTTCCTGGGCTTCGTAATTTCAAACTCAGACATATGCCGAAGTGGGCACATTGCTTTGAGACCACCCGGAAATTGCACAATGGCACCAAATGTATCAACAGATATGACTGTCGCCTTTGTCACCATACCAGGCTTGACATCTGAGTGAGTGAAAACTGGACCTTCAAAGGCGCTTGCCTGCTCAATAGAAAAGCAATACCAAAGGAACGAAAAGGTAAAGAAGGAAACCCACAAATGTATATCAGGAACAAAAAAAACATATGTCCGAATAGATAGAGGCATAAATGTTGATTCTGCATCAAACAGTTGCCTATTGGCATTTAGATTGCAATGCTGATATGATATTGAGAAATAGTACTTGAAGTAAAATCTATTAGCATGTCTGGCAGTAATATACCTTTAAAGTTCCTATGGCCAACCCCTCCATCTGCTTGAGTCCGAGTATTCGAACACGGATGCGATTTCCTTCCTTGAACTTCTTTTCTAGTTTCTCTACTTCATCTCCTGCGACGTCATATGTCTGCAGTTACAGTAAATCTCTGTTAACAAAGGACATCAAAACCCTACATCTTTTTTAAAGTAAGGATAGCCAATTGGACATACGCTAACATATGCTGGAGTTGATGCAGGCTTAGAAGGGAGTTCCAGAAGAAGGCCTGATTTATCAACACGAACTACTTTTGCTTCGTCGAATATGCCTCCGCTAGAGACATGCTGTAAAGAGCCAAAACAGGTTTCACAAAAATATATTTACAATTACTGACCCTTCATTTAAACCTTAAAGGTAGCTGTCAAATCAAGTTTTCTTAGTCATTATATCTTAGTGGAAGCGCATGGACAAATCAGTAACTTACCAACGGAGGAGCCTTGTTACAAACAAGATGTGGGTTCAATGTCAAACCAACAGCTCTAGATGATGGATCGCTAAACAATATTCTAGCATTAACCTGAAAAACAGCATTTTATGTATATAAAGCAAACTTTCAACAGTCGAGAGAAACACAACAAAGAAAAGAATAAAAAAAGAGCAAACACCAAAATGCATACCATCTTATGCTGGATATACTCATCCTTCCAGCTTTTGTTAGACAATGGATTTTGTAGATGGAAAAGATCAACCTGCACATTCAATGAGAAACAGAACTCATAAGTGTCACCAAGATTTTAGGCTTAACAAAACACAGTTCCAGTCTAAGCAATAATGCACACAATCAAAATATATAGTAACTCACTGTTCCATTAAAGTATGTAAGAAAATCTAACAGTATCCCATTCTCAAGGACTGATTGCACACGGGCATTAACCATCATGCCTGGGATGAGAAGATCAAACGACATGCCATTAAGATCCTTGGTCTGCAAAATGGTATTCATGAGGTTAAGTTTGTGTAGATTTAAGGAAACTTTACTCTGTATTTTGCAAAGTATATTTGAGGCATACCACACTCTTTGCCACTGAATCTGAGTCAGAGCTAAGACGTATAATTTTACGTTCTCTATCAATCTTTGTAACCACGCCCTGAATAAGCTGCCCAGTCTTTTTTCCTGACTCCTGGTTTCCTGGAAAATCCAAAAAAAGGTAGATGAAATTTGTAAAAGATGGTTGAGAGTAGATAATTCAGAGAGCCATGAAGTTCCCAAGAAAGAACAAAGGCATTCAAAAAGGTTTATGGAAATGGATACAAGAGTTGGATCCTCAAAGTATTTCCCTTAGTAGGAAATAGTCCACACATTTTATCATATGAAATATGTTAAGAGGCTAGTAGGTCAACCCGGTTTCTTACCATCATTGCCTCTTTCGATAAATCCGGTGACGGAAGGTAATCCAAAGTGAAGGATATAACCATGGTCTTCGATGCTTTTCACGTTGGCAGTGAACACCTAAACAAGCATTATGGAAAATAAATAAAGGATTAAGGGATTTATAAGATTAACAACCATGGTCGATAAAAAAAATGAGTAGTTAAGTAAGACCCCATATCAAAAGATAGCAGAAGTACAGTTTCAATATAGCTTGTTCATTACAAACTGCTAGCTATGCAACTTAATAAATAAAAGTCTAAGATCGTTCAGCCATGAACTCTTTCAACTCGCTTTGGATCTCTGGATCACTTTGGCTATGCAAACAAACTTACGAAAAACTTACGAAAATCTTATGAAAATCTCTGGATCATGTTGGATCTCTGGATCTCTGGATCAATTCCAGTACCCACAAATACATATGAAAATCTTACACAAAGGAAGAGGAGCTCCAAAGAAGTACAAAATTACGAAATAAAAGGAAAGTAAACCAAGCATTGACATACCATCCCTAGTTGAAAGGAATCTAAACCAAATCCCTTGTGCAATAAAGAAAGTCGCAATGAAAGCCATATTTTCCTTTTGCCTGCCTCCTTCTTATCATCATCTAACTGCAGTACAATGCACGGAACAAGCTGACCCACAGAAAAAATGTCTCCAAGGAGTTCATTTTCATCATCCTGGTTGACAAAAAGAGGACCAACGTTGTTCAGATTGTCGAATAGATATTGGAAATGGGTCATGAAGACCAAAACACGGGAATATTAGACAGCCTTTTATAGCCTAAAGCTACTACCTCAAGCCCAATATCTTCAAAATCCGATGCCTCACTTGCACGAACTAATCCACGTAAGCCTCCTGGAAGACTAATTACAATATCCTTCTGGTTTACTTCAGTAACAACTCCTAAAAGCTTCATTCCTGGGGAAATATTCTGAACATATATATTCACAGAAACGTTAGAACAGGAAAAGCAGAATGTAATCCGCTTGAGAAAATCTTCTAGGACACTAGCATCATGCAACTATGGTCATGAGGATAGATAAATGTCAATGGAAAGCCATAGGTCGGTGCATCAACTGAAAAATGCACATGTGTCTTAAGAAACGTAAAAAAAAGCCATGAAAAGCTGATGTAAGAACTATCTATCCGAATAAAGAGTCAGAGGAGATTGATGCAGAAATTTAGGATCAGCGTCTTGATTCAATCTAGGTTAAGGTAGTTTCCCAATGATGTTGATCTAACCATAAATCCTGAGGTTTAATAAAATGTACTCTAACAATTTGTTCTATGAAATTCTAGAATGCAGAAAACATATGAACCTGAGCTGAGTCACTAAGAGACAATGGAATTGGAAGCAACAAAAGAGAGCCAATTTAATCACATAAGACGTATATACCTTAATCGTAATCTTATTGGCATATCTTGGCCGTTTTCCAGTGAGGCCACCACCAAAGAGTAATCCCAATTCGTCAACATCGCTAGTGATTCTCTTTTTAGACTTCCCACCTTTACTCTTCTTAGAAACACGCTCATCAGCGTCAAACTCAGCATCGACTTCTTCATAAATTTTCTCACGCTCTTTCTTACTCAGAGAAGTACCTCCACCTGA